GTATATATTTTTTGCCTTACTATACTATGTGATTTTTAATGACTTTTTATGCCATACTATACTATATCATTTTTTTATACATTTTTTGCCTTACTACACTATGTGATTTTTTATGACTTATTATGCCATACTATACTATGTGATTTTTTTATGACTTTTTATGCCATGTTATACTGTCATTTTTGTATACATTTTTTGCCTTACTATACTATGTGATTTTTTATGACTTTTTATGCCATACCATACTATATAATTTTTTTCATAAATTTTTTGCCTTACTATACTATGTGATTTTTTATGACTTTTTATGCCCTACTAAATTATGTGATTTTTTATGACTTTTTATGCCATACTATACTATATCATTTTTTTAATACATTTTTTTCCTTACTATACTACGTGATTTTTTATGACTTTTTATGCCATGCTATACTATGTGATATTTTTTGACTTTTTATGCCATGCTATACTATATCCTTTTTTTATACATTATTTGAGTTCCTATGCTATGTAATTTTTTATGACTTTTAATGCCAAACTATAATATGTCAAGTTTTAGATATTTTTTGCCTTACTATATTATGTGATTTGGTATGACTTTTTATGCCATGCTATAGTATGTCATTTTTTGCCTTACTATACTATGTGATTTTTTTATGAGTTTTTATCCCATACTATACTATATCATTTTTTTAATACATTTTTTGCCTTACTATACTATGTGATTTTTTTATGAGTTTTTATCCCATACTATACTATATCATTTTTTTAATACATTTTTTGCCTTACTATACTATGTGATTTTTTTATGAGTTTTTATCCCATACTATACTATATCATTTTTTTAATACATTTTTTGCCTTACTATACTATGTGATTTTTTATGACTTTTTTTGCCATGCTATACTATATCATTTTTTAATACATTTTTTGCCTTACTATACTGTCATTTTTACTACATCTTATGCCTCATTATACTATTGCATGTTTATACCTTAATATACTATGAAATTTTTATGCCATACTATACTATGACATATTTTATGTAATTTTTATTGCTTACTATACTATGTGATTTTCATGCCTTCTTATATCATGACATTTTCTGCCATACTATACTATGACATTTTTTTGCCTTACAATACTATGACATTTTTTATGACATTCTTATGCTTTACTATACTATGACATTTTTATGTCATGTTATATTGTGACATTTTATGCCTCACTATACTGTAATTTTTACCACATCTTATGCTTCATTATACTATGACATTTTTATGCCATACTATACCTTGACATTTTATGCATTTCTATACTATGTCATTTAAATGCCATACTATACTATGACATTTATCATGACATTTTTATGGCATACTTGGAGAATGATATGTTAGTGAAGTACCTATTTCAATGTAAAAAAGACAGACACAAATACATGAATTCATATGTGTTTATTATGAAAAACATCTAACATTTTGAATTGAATATCTCATATTTTCAATTCCTCCAAGAGGAGAAGCTCAACCCTAAAACAGAGGAAAAGATAGACCACACACACAGGAAAGAGAAACGTAGAGAGTGTGTACAAGCCACAGAGTTCTTCTTTGAATCTCCAAATAAAACCAAAGTATAAATAACTTAAACAAATAAGAACATTAACAGTTTAGGTAAAAAAAAAAAGACAGAAAGAAAATGTTGGTGGTTTATGTTTTGCCTTAATGCCTGCATTAAGAAAATTGAGGGATGTAGTATCAACTAATGTGTTTACACTGGTAATCATCCAAATAATGGTGTAATGATACACTGGGCTGGTGTGGTGGGGACAAGGTGGTGCTGGAAATGTGACTTAGTTTGTTGTTCACAATTGTTTCCTCACTTATGTCTCTTAACCTCTATAAATCCATAAAGATTAATTTTCAGCTTTGATCAAGAGTTGTGGCAGAGTTCATAAGCCTGGTAGAGGCAGAGTTGGGAATACTGGCACAACTTCACCTACTAACCCAATGTGCATGGAGAAGGGAGCCAGTCTGAGAGGGTTAAAACTTCAGCAACACCTGTAGTATGATGAACAGCTTTACTGCCAGACTAACATGTTAGCTTGTGGCCTTCATCAGGGTTCCCAGTGACCCACAAGCCTGATGAAGGCCACGAGTCGAAATGTTTTGGTTTGAGAATGAAATTGTTCTTCATACTGTAAGTGTTGCTGGAGTTTTTTCATGAGACCACCAATGGCTGGTAGTGTAATTTCTAAGATTTATCACAGCATGAAAGCTGTTACAGTAAGCCTTATGGCAGGTGAACAGCTTAGCCCATTGTCTAGCTGTGTTACAGACATAACCATTCAACTCATGACTTACAAAAGCCACCAAACTGTGCTGGTTCTGACACCTACTGTGCTTTTCACCTCTCATTGTACTGTACTGGCTCATATCCAGTGCTCTGTCAGTTTCCACCAATGTTAATACTGATAAACCAGAAAAAATCTAGTGCGTACCACTGTATAGACTTTATGAATTACAGATTCCCTGATCTGAACTGGATCCAGCCTCATGGAAACATAACAGCCACTGTAAATGTAAACCTATGACAGCTTTCACTAACATGACCTGAACCTCATCTTAGGCCACAACCAGCTCCATGCATCCAAATGTTCTAATGCGTCCTTCTACCCATTCACATTATCCACAGTCATTAACGCCACTTCACTTCTCACCTGCTGGACTTTTCAACTTAACAATACCAAACTGTGCCCATACTACAAAAAACCCACCACTCATCACAATGAAGGTACACTTAGACAGAAAGTATGTTTTCCACATTCTTCAGCTAATTAAACACCAGGTCACAAGGCCAGCTGACTTCATAGGATCAGTGTATTCTGAGAAAAAATGGGAACATTTAAGTTTTTTTCCCCCAGTTGCACAAATCTCTGTGGGAAAGCTATCAACCAAGGCTGCCAATGAGAAAGTTTCTGACCTTAGGTTACCCCAATAATATCCTCCTGTATAGTATCCAAATTTCAGGATAAAAATCCTGCAGAGATTTTTGTTGTACCCTGAGGTTGATGATTTGGCTGGAGATGCAGAGACCTATCATCAAGTTTATCATGTTTGAGTTTTCAATACATTTTAACTTTTTTATTTTAATTCAAACTGCTGTTTTTAGCAACAACCTTACTCCAGAACTTATTGTAAATTGTTACAAACACATGGCTATCAATGTACAAAAAAAAGAAAAAAAAATCATCAGTTTTCTTAGTTCATGTAAAGCTCAAACTTCTTAATAAGTCATACTTACAAGAAAGAAAAGCATGAACAAAACATTTTTCTTGGTTATAATAATTATAATAAAACCGTTGAGTGCACACTGGAAAATGAAATGAGCTTCTCGTTGCACAATATAAAAACATTTATGTCGCCTAAAAATAGGGCTTGAGTCAATCCACATTCAATGTATTTAACCCAGGAAGTGGATTTCCTTGAGAAAAAAAAAACAAAAACAAAACAAAACAAAAACAATAAAAAGAACATTAATAAAAAGAACACATGAAAAAAACATGAAAGGCAACAAAAGTCCTCAAAACTCCCAAATGTCTGGATAAATTTTGTAATTTTAAACTTAACATAAAATAGCCTAGCACTGCTACTACTAGTTCATAATAAAGCTGAAAGATGGACAAAAATGAATACATATACAGAGAGAGAAGTAATAGAAAAAGTAAACATCATGACTTTCACACAAACAAAACGATAAGATAACAAAACATACCATTTCATTACACTAGTGCTGTAAAAGGACAGGGAATAGTATTTAGACTGCATTCAGGTTTTTCCAGTCCTTCATTGATGAGGAATCTGTGGGTGATTGATCGATCAATGGCTGGAGTGTATAACTAAACTGGATTTGTACCTATACAGTCTATGATCTGCAATGATAAATTATTAATGTTGATTGCAATCCAATTATTCTATAGTATAGACAGATAGAAGTGATATGTGACACATGCAACTGATGTGCATGTGATGTTTTTAAAGAGTTTGTGAGCTTGAGTCTGGGCTGATCCATTGTATTAGTAGCATGTTACAATACTATGTTACATATCATGGCTGTAAAAAACAACTTATTCCCACACAATAACTTTTTATGAGCTAAGGAAAAATCAAGTTTTCACCTTTGTGACAATGAACTTTTCTGAAAAAAAAAAACAGTGGGCTTTTAAATGGTTTACTTGGCTTATGAAATAGGATATTTTTCTCAGCCCATAAAGGACGTTTTTCTGAAAAATTCTAATTCAAATTACCAAAGTTTGGAGATACATTGTTTTGCTGTACAGCAATGTCATGTTATGATGAGCCAGGGCTTTGAAAAAGAAGTATGGTACACTCTATTTTATGTTCATATGTGTGCACAGATTAACATGAGTAAAAATATGGCATAGGGACACAGACGCTTTGTGCTTTTTTGAGCGTGCTGCTGTTTGCAAGGAACTATGTAAGGACACAGCCTCGAATCACCCACTTATTCCTGATCAAAGCGCTGTACAGAGAGTGCTCTGACGATAAATAGGCTGCATAGGGAACAACAAAGAACATAGGTAGGCCTGTGTTTGGTTTCATGCATATAAAGAAAATCCATGTGGAGAACAAGACTGATTGTATGGCATAGTGCAAAACCCCTTGGAAGACAAAGGATGTTTGAACTGAACACCCCCCTCCCCACAAAAATCATTTCCTTAATTGCTTCTAGCAGTTGTCTTTGTTATCTGTCCTGCCTCAAGGTTGTTGCTACATAACCTGTGATTCTACTGTTATGGGCACCTCACCATCAGTGAAGTTTAGAGAAATAATTCAAATTATAGTACAGCAAACACTTCTTAACCCTAGAACCTGGCAAACGTCTCTCTGGATGCTCTCCTCCCACCTGCCATCTTTTTAAATGCAACTAAATTTTCCCCCTCTTAATCCCCTGCCTCCCTCCCTCCTCCCTCCCTTCTCCAGCAAAGTGAACTTTGGTCTCAGAAAACAGCAGGTTTCAGGAAGTGAGCTGGATATAGTGTGGGTTAACAAGGGCATGTTCACAAATGTGAAGTGTTGCACAACACTGAACAATGCAGAATCGTTTTTTTCACAGACTGTCAACACCTCACTTTTGATGCATGCTCTACTGGTAATCCTGACCAATAAGCCCCGATCGTGACCCTGAGCCAAACAAAGATTCTGTCTCTCTTCCTCCTCCCCCGTTAACAACATCTTTACCCCCTTGTGACCCCTCTCCCTCTATTTTCAACATCGTGTATTAATAGAAAATATACTTTTGGTACTGGAAACTACCCCTACACATCAAATCCTCTCAGACCTGGACAAAAAATATCTGATCTTTCCTTTTTATATCTGCAACTCTCATCTGACTCAAGAAACAACGTCAACTCTGTATGTGTCACAGTTACAATATAATGCTAAATCAACTGCTCATGTTCCTTCCTCTGTATTAAAATATATTCAACTACTTTTTGTCCAGGTCTGTTGTGGCCATAACCCTTTTAATCCCTCTTTTCTATGGCTTTTATTCACTTTCAATTCAATCAATTCAGGAATTTTATTTTCTTCTACATTCAAATATTGAAAAAATGGTTGGCATGTAAAAATGATCATATCAAACCTGTTAGGAAATAATGATGAACAATTGGTCTACAACTGCAGTTTCGTTTTGACTTTTTTTCCCCCAGTTGATTGTGTTGAAAATGAATGGACTGCCAGCCCTGGTTTTCGCCTCTTCCTCCCTCCACAACTTCCTCATCGTCATCCTCCTCCTCAGCGCATCTTGTGCTCCACATCAGCGTTGGCCATGTTTGAGCCAGGGCTGGGGTCCTGCTGTCGTCTGGACTGGGGAGAGAGAGATGGAAGGATGAAAGAGGGGAAGAGAGGAGAGGAGAAGAGGGACGAAAAGAGGCGAGGTAAAAGTGATAGAGAGCGGAGTGAGATTAGACAGATGAGAAGGCAGGAAGAGATGGGAAGGATAGTAAGACAGGGATCAGAGAGAAAAATACAATAAATTAAGTACAATTTTTTAAATATGATAATGTATACAACACACTTAAACATTCTCTGCATCAGTAACATTTACCTGACTGTCTTTATAACAGCACATAATGATTATTGTCTTATAACAGCCTATAAAAGTCTTTTTTAGCGCCTCATATCAGCAGTGTAAGTTGTTAAAGCCTACATGCTTTTGTCTTCTCACAACTGGACTACTGCAATAACGTTTAAACATGTGTTGCTGTCAGGGAAACCTAAGCTCTGGAATATCATCTGTCTGAGGAGGTCAGGATAACCATGTTAATAGGTTGAATGATTGATAATTTTATGTCAGACTTGTAGGACACATGCTTGATTAGGGTTTGAATTATTCATCAATATAAACATTTAAAATACAGATATCATTATAACTGCTCACTACTATTTTATTTTGTGTAATAAACATTTGTTAAGTGATTATTAAGTCTGTAAAAATCCTTTGTAGGTCAAGGTTAGGATTTTAAATTGTTTATGTACTGATATGGGTTTTAGGGTCACTCCATTGATTCTGCAGAAGAAGTTCATGAAGAGAACTACACAGCCTTTAAAGACAGTTGATTAATGTCTTCTGTGGCTCTGGAGGAGCTGTCTAATGTCGGAAACAATAATGCTGACAATGTCAAAGTACGACTGAAGAGTTACAGTTGTAAGTTCTTATAAACTGGAAGTATGTAGTTTGAAAGACTTCAGGACAAAAGGGTTGTCTGATGAAAGACAGTTGCGTATGGGAAATGCAGGGTGCTTCATAGCAGCAATTATAAATGTTGACAAAGAAACTTTAAACATGGCCTCATATCTGCTCACAGCAACACTATAGTATTACAGTGCATTATAAACCATTCATTAGCCTAACTGTTTATAAACTGCTTATAAATGCATAATAGCAGGTTGAGTAGTTTTACCTCCAAGGGTTCAAAAAGTTAACCAAGTAGAACCCAAATGTGAGAATAACTAAGTTTGGTTCCTTTGTTTAAAAAAAAAAAAAAAAAGCTCCTCTACAACCACAGAGTGATATAGGACTGCAAAATGAAGTTGCAAATCCCCAAAGTGCCACTAGAGGAAGCCAGAAAGCTTTATAATAAGTTATGTGCGACTGTTTATACACTTTACTGATGTTGATATTTTAGTCAAGGTAGCTGGCAGACAGACAGGCAGAGAGGCAGACAGACTGACAGACATATAAACTGGCAGACATACTGGCTGTCTGACACAGATAAACACAGACACACACACATGCACACATGCACACACACACACACACACACACACACACACACACACACACACACACACACTGAGGGATCATTAGGTCATCATTAGAGGCCATCAGCATGACAAGACTTTTAAATTTATTTCATGAGTGGGTATAGTGTGTATGTGTTTGTGAGCTTGTGGCATGAACCTGCTCCTGCTGTAAAAAAAAATACTTGTGGTTATATGTTTACACTTAAGTGAGAGCTGAGGGAATTTAGCAGGGGTAGGGTGAGATGGCGGAAGGGGTAGAGGGGAGAGAGAGGTGAGAAAGTGTGGGCAGAGGTGAAGCAGAGAGCAGAGCAGACAGAAATGCAGACAGAGATAGTAAAGGGGTTGCTTAGTTCAACTGGAATGTAGTTTGTGTCATCTCAATGACTCACCATAATAGCAACATACACACAGTCACATGCACACACATACAGTATGTCATACTACCATTTTGAATCCTCACAGCCAGACTGACTCCAGTTTCTGTCTGTCTCCTCTGGAAAGCTGTCTGTTGCTTTCTCAAAACTGCTGCTATCAAATATTTATGTGTGGCTCAATTAGAGTGACTTGATTTTTTGGATTTCAAAGTGGAGTCACAATGAAATCAATTCTTGATTGTTCATTATAGCACCATCTGTGCTCGTAGGCTATGTTTGTGTCCTCCCAGTCTCCCTGGGAATAAAGTTCATAATGGATGATTCTGCAGCATGCGCACAGCCAACGTTCAGGGCCAAGGCTAGATGTGCTGTGATGGTAATGTAGTGAGGCAGAAGGTAAGAATGTAGTGGTTGATGTGGTGAAGAATTTATAGTCACATATTTCCCTCAGGAGTTGGTGGGGATGAAAAACAGAGCGAAAAGGAGAGTGAACATTGCCATGTTGACAGAAAAATGTCTCCAAATGAATAATAGTTGCCCCGTAACTGCTAGATGTGTAAATAGGCAACTGTTTGTTAACAAGTTCGCTACAGTGATTTATCGGAAAGTGATGAGACGAGCTGACCGGGCTGGGGCTAGCTGGTTAGCTAACTTCACAAGAAGAAAAGAAGTGACAGAAATAGAAGCAAAACAAAAAGGTCGCTTTCCACTGCTGGAGACAGTGTTTGTTTCTTCTAGACTGGTAAGTAAACAGCTGTTAATGCTAACGTTGGCTATTCCGATTAGTTTACTTTGTACTATTTTTGCTTTCTGAACACATTTTGTTGAGCTCTATCTTAGCAACTGCTAGCCTCAGAATCCTTTTTTTTATTATTATTATTATTGTTCCTAAATAAATCTGATTCATAGGATCTGCAGAATTAATAACATTAACATGTGATAATGATGGGATTAGTTACACCTGTGTTTGACCACTTAAAATGTCTGCTGTGAGAAAGGCCTATTCAGTTTCACTTCATTTTTTCCTCTAACCCATAATATTTCCTATTCCACATGTTATTTGTCAAACATAAATTTATCTGTTTGAAATTTACAGTATTAATTAAAAGTTATTTTGAGATTGGATAAATTTAAAATTGTAAGAGACAGTGAACACGGAAAGCTTTGAGTGTATTGTTGGTCATTGTAGAAGGGAGTGGTCTTTGCTAATCATAAGGGCAGGAGGAGAGCTTTCTGTATTGATCCACACACAGACGGAAGCTTGCTGGGCCACTATAGGCTGCTTCACCACAACTCAATACTGGAGAAGGGTGTGTGTGTGTGTGTGTGTGTGTGTGTGTGTGTGTGTGTGTGTGTGTGTGTGTGTGTGTGTGTGTGTGTGTGTGTGTGTGTGGTGAACTGAGTAGATTTGCTGTATCTGCGATTTGTGCATATATGTGCCTGTACAGTATTTGAATGTGTCTGTGAATTTGTGTGTGTGTGTGTGTGTGTGTAAGTCAAAGTAGGGGGTCTGATGGCAATCAATACTAATGATATATTAATGCTTTCAGTGCCAGCTCATCATTCACCACCAAATCTCTTTTTGCTGAGCACTTGGGAGTGTGTGTCTGTGTGTGTGTGTGTGTTTTTTGTGTGTGTGTGTGTCTGTGTGTGTGTGTGTGTGTTTTGTGTGTGAGTGTGTCTGTGCACTGTGGAGTTAAAACACGCATTTCTTTTCAATCTATTGCTTTTCCATCCATCACTCTGACAGGTACCTTCTGACCTTGAATGACTGGAGTATCACTGCATTTGGATGAAAAATGTTGTATCTGCCAAACTGACAAGGCCTCAGGAATTGAGAGGGAAACATCTTTATATTCAGTGAGCACCCACATGAAAAAAAAACATTAATGTTTTTCTGCTGAGCTTTATTATAATGAAACCTACGCAACCCAATAAACATCAGAGTGCCATAATTTTCCTCTGCAGCATTTTTAAAATGTAATTCTTATTGATCATATAGCAACAGTAATCACAGAAGTACTACAGTTACTGATAAGGTTTAAAAGGCTTTTCATTCTGGGTTACAGGGGGAGGTTTATGGTTTAAGTATTGTTATACAGATGTTTGGTTATGTTCAGATGTTGGCTTGAAAATGTTAAATTTGAATTTGACAAATACAACTTATGGTGACTCCAGTCTATTATAAATCAGAAATCAGTTAAAGCCCGTGCAGTACACATTTAAACCATACTGATATGTTGTTCGTATATTATTTTTTAAAACTTTTCCTTTTGTTGGCAGAGTAATGTTTGAGCAGTAAACCACTGTTCATCAGACATGAAAAATGAAATGTATGGTGCGGCACCTTTTCCCCATGCCTAGCCTTACATAACTAACATTACATTTTCATGTCTTTCTCTCTCTGCTATTCTCTCACTCGCTGTTCTGCATGTTGCATTTATATTGGTGGAAAAATTTAATTTCATTTAACTTTATACTATGCAACAAATACAACACCAATGTGGCGACTTCTGTCTTCTATCTGATAGAAAGAAGAAGTTAACTGCGGCTTTGAACTACACACAGTATAGACAGGATAGAGACATAACTAGATTGCCAGCTAACAAGATAAAGAGAGTCAGAGAGAGAGAGAGAGAGACAGAAGGAAAAGAGGGGTTCAGACCACAGAAATGCTGACGCTGTATCTCTGTAACTATTCAGCAATGCTCATCAGTCACACCCAAAGAAACATCTCAGAGCAGAGCTGTAGAATCGCACTGTGACTGCTGTTTCTCTCCATCTTAACGCTAAAATTGTCTTTTATGAAATACGTATCCCAATGTTCTTGTCTCATCATCTGCAAGACAACAGGAGTATTTCTGTCCATTATTTTCCCAGGCTTTTTTTTCTTTTTTTCAAATATTAACTTCATCTACAGAAGTCACGACTGCTTGGCACATTGATGAAAACAAGTGACTCACTATGTTCACGTTTTTCTACGGTCAAATATACAGCAAGTTCACGGGCACAGTTTATGAATGTAAGACAACGGCCTGAGAGGGACAAGATTAAAGTATATGGATTGTGCAATTTATTATGCATTGATAGATATATTTTTTATGTATTTTATATTGTACAGCCAAACAAAACTGTTTTTCAGCTCATGGTTTTTCCAGGGAGGAATCAAGCTCATATTTCTGCATGTGTACAGATTAGACAATTCAAATATAATGTATTAATTAGTGATCTTGCACACAAATGTTTCTTTTTACTTTGGACATAACCAGACTAGCTGTTTCCCGCTGTCTCCAGTCTTTATGCTAAGCTAGGCTAACATAAAGGCTCTTTGTTCACTTGAAGGTTCTGGAAGTGTGATTTTAAACGATAGTATAGTAGAAAACAACTATTTATTTTCTATGTAAAGATGAAGTGGAATAATGACATCCTCAGAAGAGAAGTAACACCTCTTCTGTATGTGATGTAATCTGAATCTCTCAGTTCTTTATTTTGGTATCCGGGAAGGCGGCACGTGCATCTTAGTGCATGTGTGTATGCATGTCAGTGTATTGAGTCCTTCCTGTTAAGCCGTCTGCCCTCCCCATGTTTATAAACACACAGTGACGGCCAACATGCAAGATGGCACAGTGCCGTACGCAGCATTCAGGTGAACGCAAAGTTCCAGATTTTCCTCCAGTGAAGAAACCATGTAGGCCTCTGACAAAGAAATAAGATAAGAGAAGATCATTTTTAAGTTTTACCGGCTCCATCAGTGTCATTCATGAGGCCCAGTCCCGGTGGATAAGTCTAAGTATGAATTTCTTTCTCGGTCTGACCTTGGAACCAATAGCGCTCTGGCTTTACCGAGATAGAGAGCCCAAGGAGCTGTTAAAGGGCTCCAGCTTGAATACATACAAACTGTGCCTGTTCTGGTGACTTGACCTTCATGTAAACTTCTAAACAGAACTATCACTTTACTGTAGGTATTTAAGTCAAACATGTGTATGTGACAAATAATAAATATGACCTTAACATTCAAATAAACAACATTATTATTCCTATACTTTCTCATGACAGTGCGGAAGTATGCGTGTGCTTTTTCAAATATGTGCCATGCACCTTTTGTCACATCCCTTCCAAATTTATCATTCATTCTGCTTGAAAGACCTAAAGGGAGCTTTGTTCTACACAACCTTCAATCTCTCCACACTTGTCTCTAGTCTAAATAATATTTAGTACCATATCGAATTCATTTTTTACATACATGATAAAAATCTGCGTTATTTTTAAGTGGTGGCACTTATATTGATTTAGCAGGAGACACAAGGTTTTCTTTTTCTCTCAGAGCCTCAGGGAAGAAACATGAGATCAGTCAGATGAAAGACGACCTTCAATAAATGTCTCTCTTTCCTGTCTTTCTGTTCTCCTTGTCTGTGCGTCTCTCCGCCCTCTGTTCTCTCCATGTGCTGTGTTCTTGCCTTTCTTCTACCATCTAATTTCTGCAGGACCATGTGCTACAAAGCTGTGGTAAGTCTTGATGTGTGTGTGTGTGTGTGTGTGTGTGTGTGTGTGTCATTGTGCAAATTGTTAAAATAAGCAGGAGCAGATATTACAGTCATTAAGTTCATTAGAAATGCATGCACATTCATGAACATAGAAAAACACATGCGCACACACTAACAAACACTTGCACACACACAACACACATGCACACACACAACACACACACACACACACACACACACACACACACACACACACACACACACACACACGACAACTGCCTGTGGTGACAGACACAGAAAATAAAACACAAGAATGCACATATATAAATTAAACAGGTAGACACACGCACAGACACACACACATACACACACATACACGCAACTGCACACACATGCAACACACACACACAGGGTGGTTTAGTGCATGACAGTGTGATAGATGGTGAGAAATGAAGGACACAGACCCTGTTCTTTTCTGCTGGCTGTCTGTCTGTGTGTCATCAGTCCCAGATTTTAGAAACCACAGGGTCCTAAAAAATAAACAATTTGGGGTTCATTCGTAGGGCGTCAACTTAGGAAGGATGCCACTGATCTCCCCAAAGCCTTGCCGGGAAAGTGAGTTTGTCTCAAGTAATTAAATGCATTTGGGACAATTACAAATTTCAAACCTATGACATGTGAATTTGTGAATCTAAATTACACATAAGACACTGCAAACAGCACAAACTGTTAAACAATTACATTTCATAAACTAGAGGCACTTTAGGAGCTGACAAATTCAGAAATAATTTCATATTATAGTTATTATGTCAAATTTCAGTAATTCTTAAATTAAATCTGGCACAAAGTGAGTAAACTACTTTCCCTTCTGAGGCTTGTGGGACACCTGACAAAACTGAACCAGTCATTCAATAGTTCATTAATATTAAATCAAATCAACTATCAGATTAGATTTATTATCAAACTGATCATGCACTAAACCTATCATTCAAACTGAAATTCTATTCAAATAAGAAATAACTGAAGCACACAATCACACATCACACAACCCTAAGCCGCTCCAAGCGCTAAGCAAAGAAAATCTAACTGGAAATTTGACTCTGTGGTTTTAATAAAAGTGTTTAGTTTCCTCTAAACATCAATCAATATATATTTGACATTATGCATATTATGATGTTGTGAAACTCATCAGAAAATAACTGTATGCTCAATTTGACATTTGAGAGAGACAATTTTCTGAATGGGTTACAAGCCAGAAACAGCAAGCAAGCTGCATAGGCGATGCTGTGTTTCTTTATATTTTTGTAAATCAGAGATGATTAAATTTCCAGTTAGGTAAGACTAGTCTTGCAAAGCCAGCCCACAAACTTTAAGTTTCACTTTTCATAGGTATATAGGCATTAGTTTGTGGCAAGAATAATTTCATATAACTTGTACATTAGACAAAACAATGACATGAACCTTTTCTGCATATGATTGGACAAATGAGCTAAACTGTCTTTGGTCTTTGCTTCCCATTTCAAACTAAAACATCATGTGAATTATTCATTCATTTCACATTCTTGTTTTTGCTGACCTCCAGCGATGCATAAGTGTACTCAGGGTGTGTTTAGTACCACACTGAATCTTCACTGTTGGGTGTGGTTACTGGTTGAAGAGAGCACACTAATGACTACACCCATCAATCATAATAACTGTGGTCAGAGGTACAACAGAGGTGAAGTGAAACAATGCTCGTCAGTTTCATAGCAGTTTTCCAAGACTAGAATCTTGCACCAAAAATCTTTACTACAGTTTATAAGTTTTAAACTGGCTTTGCAAGGCCCTGGGAGGTCTGGTAAGGAAGCAGATTTGTCCTGTTACAGGACAGGAGAGTTGGAGCTACACAGTCCAGTAACAGTCCCATTGTCTTTGAGATGGCAGACAAGTAGCCCCCCATTAACATGAACAACAGTCTCAGGCTCTCTCACCTCTAGATCCTCTCTGTGTGATCGGTCTCTGTCTTCAAAGTCTCTGGTTCTGCGGCGAGCCTCTTCAAAAGCTGCCTGGGCCAAAGCGTCCTCATGCTGCACACACACACAGAAATAGAAAGTGACAGTCGGTTTAGTTTTCTGTTTTTTCCGTGATAAAGAAGTTCCAAGGTTAGAAAAGAGTTGGGGCAAAAACTAAATTCATTTCTTTCTTTTAAACAAGACAGAGATCGCAATGTGATTTCAAGAGGAAAAGAGGAAAACAAAGCAAAAGGAGGATGTGGAGTTTTTGTGCACGCATACAAACGTTACACTATGTGAGAAGACATGTGTTACCTGTGCTCTCTCATCATCATACTCCAGGTATCCCATCCCATCCAGCCTCTGTAGGTCGATCCAGCCTCTCCAAATCACACACACCCCATTCAAGATCATAGGGGCCTTTAAATAGACCTGCAAAGACAGAGAGAGAGAGAGAGAGAGAGAGAGAGAGAGAGAGAGAGAGAGATCAATGCCAGCAACAGTTCATTTGCACATTACTGCAGCACTGTTCTGTCTTTTCAGTACTGCAACACATTTCAGTTAGCATTGGATGTGTTTTCCTGTGTGAGACTCAACATGTGTTAAGTTTGTTAAGTTCCTCTGCTGATAATGTTTAAAACCCTGTCAAACTAATATAGCAACAAGTCATATTGAAAATAACTATGATTTGAAAAAAAATAAACAAACAAACTGAGAATTGATGCTTTTTCAGAATCACACAGGGATCCATTCTCTGTTTCCCATGACTCTGGTAATAAGACTGGCTGTACACTGATCGTACATTTAGCCTAAAGCAGGAGCAGCAGCTTAATATGACTGGGAGTTTCGCACAAAATCAGTTCTTAAATCAGAAACCGTCAGCTCTTTCTCCAGAATAATACAAAGCTCTGTGTTTGGCCTCTCCCCCCTGCCCCCGCTGTAACTGCTGTGAATAAGAAAAACCACCAACTACGTCAAAACCTTTCCAGCACAATTGAGAGTTGGACTAGTAAATCACACACACATACACACAAGCCCGCACGCACACACACACACACACACTCACACACAAGCCCGCACACACACACACACTCACACACAAGCCCGCACACACACACACACAAGCCCGCATACACACCACACACACACACACATGTCGATGTGCATTTACATACTGTGTGTGCATGTGCAAAGTCAGTTGAGGTTAGTTTGTCTATATGTGTGCTCGTGTTTGCTGCAGAAACATGTCAGTCCTTTCATTTTCTAGTTTTAGTTGAAAAGTAAGTGTGTATATTGGAAACCAAAGTTACTGAAACTAAATATCATATGCCTAAAAACTTTTTTTTTTCTTTTTGTCATTTTGGATTATGGCCTTTCCCCCCGGATCTGTGCTTTATTCAATGGTGTTGTTGACACACTGGCAGCTAAAATCTGACTCTGATCTTTTTATGCTGGGATGATGATCTCATCCTGTAGAGCTTTCAGCCCTTGTTTTACTTATTTATCTATTGAAAGCAAATGTCATGTTACTTCAGTTCTCATGTGTCTTCAGTTAGGTTTGATAATAGCAAAAAAGGTACATCAACAACCTCAGCCGATTAACAGTAAGGCTACCCTTGTCTGTCTTGTTTGACCTTGTATAATGTCTGTTTTGTCTGTCTGTGAATGAGAGCGAACAGGAGGGGGAAATAGAAGTGATAATAAGGGCACTACAAGAGCTCACTTATATTCTATTAACAACTCTCTCTTCCTCATGTAGAAAGAACAACACAGTCAGGCAGACAGAGGAGGGTCAGGCTTTGTCTGTCTCTGCACTCCAGGTTATATTACATATGGCTCTGTGCCAGGGGGGCTGCAAACTAACCACCAAATATGTGAGCGTGTGCATGTCTGTGTGTATATTCATGAGGTGAGGGAATGTGTACATCTGAAGAATCACAGAACCATTTCTGTGTTTGGATTTGCCAGAATGTCTCTGGCTGCTGGAGGTAAATTCACGCTGCTGCATTGTGGACGAAATTCAACCATTTCTCAACATTTGGCAATAACTCATATTTTGTTAGAGGGAAAAGATCTTTTCCCGGTGTCATTTAAAGTGGACCTTTCGTGTTCATTTCCAGCTCTGTATTTTTTTATCCTCGGGCTCCATGAGACTAGCTTTGCATGACAGACATTTCAAAAAAGGCTTATCTGAAACTGCCTGTTATGTAGCCCTGTGTTTGAGCCGCTGACTGAAACAGGCATATTAGCTTGGGCCTCCTTAGGTGGCCTCCTTAAAAGCTCAGCTTCTGATTGGGTGAACATCAGGAAACCCGACGAGGGCTGGTGCACCCAGCGCTTGTGAGCGGCGCCTCCTCCTCTTACCAGGAGGTTCTGAAAATCTAAGTAACTAGTAACTAAGACTAAGTAACAGAACATAGTTTATTGGAAATGGCAACTTCATAAATCCATGTGTGATAGGAGTTTAAATTAGTTTACTAACAGCTGTAATCAATATTTTAATATCAATAATGGATCACATGACTATTTGTATTTGAAAGTTTAGTGGAGTATTTTAGCATCTTTCAACGTTACTGTTTTGATTCATTCTCACCATTCATTGGTTCTTTGCCAACAAGTTTGCCACATCAACTTAAAAGGTGATAGATTTGTGTTCACAGCTTGTTTCTGCTGCACCCAAATGGCCCAAAAGCAGTTAAGGTGTGAGGTAGTGGTAATGAGCAAACATCTAATTTGATTTCTTTCTGTTTCTTCTCTGTGTTTCATAACCTTCCTCTTTCCCACGACTCTAATCTCCATGAGGAAGAGACAACTGACAGCGAGAGGCGGTGAATCACAGACAGTCTGTTTTTCCCAGGGTAGAAAGTTTTTAGGTGGTATTTTTATCTGAGTAAACAAGCATTTAGGATTAAATTAACAAAATCAAACACTCCCCCCGAAGAGCACACACACACACAAACACACAGATGACTGGATTTTTCTGTGTGACACTGGGCGATTGCCACGTTCCTGCATTTTTACTCAGGCTATTTTTGGACAGCCTCTCACAGGGACCTCTTTTACCACAGCTACCCACACTGCACCGGGGTTGCAGGGGAGACCGCACCCCAAGAGACTGTGGGTTTTTGTGTTTATTCGCATTAATGTTTTTCTGTGTGTGTGTATGTGTGTGTGTGTGCGAGAGAGAGGGAGAGAGAGAGAGAGGGAGAGAGAGATGTGAGAGAAATGGCTTCCACATCTGTGGAGCTACATGGTGCTTTTAAAAGAAAGCTTCATTTGGCCTGATAGGGAAAACGTGTGTGTGTGTGTGTGTGTGTGTGTGTGTGTGTGTGTGTGTGTCTGTGTGTGAGGGGAAAATATGTAGAAATGGCCCAACCACAGACTTCCTCTGAGAGAGAACCATGTCAACCCCCACATCCATTTACCGAGACACACACACACAGACACACACACACAGACACAGACAGACAGACAGACAGACAGACAGACAGACAGACAGACAGACAGACAGACAGACAGACAGACAGACACACAGCACACACACACACACACACACACACACACACACACACACACACACACACACTGCAGCACACTGTGAATAAGAAAAGCAAGCAGGGTGAAATATAGTGGAAATTTAGACTCGCTTTAAAACTGAGTGTAAGCTTAGATAAGTAGGCCACCACACCTCACTGTGACACTTTACTTTAAATCATCAAATATCCGTATTGTCATGCATGTAGTGTGGTCTTACATCATTTTGTCCCGTGGATTTGCTCGAGATCACATTTTCGTGGACAGTCCTGTGTATTACATGTTTCTCAGGTTCTGTGACACACATGATGACAGCGTTGCAAAACATCAATCTAAATGTGGATCACACCAGCTGCAGATGTGGATCACTGTGCATCACTTTCATTCCCTCGATAGTGAATGTTTGAATTTTAGTGTATTACGTGTATTATCATTTTCTTTGGCACTGGCTGCCTGATCTTATTTTCTTCTATTTTTCCTCAACAGCACTGACCAGCAAAGACATAAACACACACTCACACACACCCAGTCTTCAGCTGGTGAGTCAAATCTCTCCCTTTTGATCTCAACCTCTCCAAGCTACTGTAAGTCCTTCCTACAGTGAGTGTGTGTGTGTGTTTGAGAGAGAGAGAGGGAGAGAGGCGGAGAGAGAGGAGAGTGTGTGTTGGCAGACAGTGTGTGACGCAGATCTGGAGGGATGTGTTGGCACAGTGCCTCTCATTCAGCCTGGTGCCAACCATCTACTCAGCACAACTGCCCACTGCTGCACACACGCACGTACACACACGCACGGACACACACACACACACACACGCGGACCAGTGCCCACGAGGTGTGTGAACACAATGGGTATCTGTGTTTTCAGCCTCGTGAATTCTGACAGTCTATCTCTCCCCCACACACACACACACACACACACACACACACACACACACACACACACACACACACACACACACACACACAAATAAACAACACAAAGACATCAACACTGTTTTTGAAATTCTCCTTTACATCCTCTATTCCTGCCTTTTTTCTTAAACATACCTCAGGGATATGCGTTGTCTACTTCACTTCTGTGTATGTGTGTGTGTGTGTGTGTGTGTGTGTGTGTGTGTGTGCGTGTGTGTGTGTGTGTGTGTGTGTGTGTGTGTGTGTGTGTGTGTGTGTGTGTATGTGTGTGTGGATCATTTAGATTAAAGATGAGCTCTTGTGTCTGTCTGGAAATCTGTGCGTGTGTATTATTCACACAATAAACGTCCGTTAGTGTGTCTGAGTCAGCAGCCAGTCACAGACAACTCATACTCTTTCTTTCTCTTTCTTTCTTTCTTTCTTTCTTTCTTTCTTTCTTTCTTTCTTTCTTTCTTTCTTGTCTAATCAGATCAGACACCATCACTATGGTGCTCATCCATGATTTTGTCTGATACAAGATCATCAAACACTTTTAAGAAAAAGATAAAACTACATCACGATAGTTTCCAGGACAATGAGGCACTCGAGTGCATGTTACATTAATCATTCCTGATTCATGCTTCCCCCACCACAGCACACTGTAACACACACACACACACACACAGCTACACAACGGCCCTTTCACTGCCAACAACAAAGACATAATAACACTACTCAACACTTCTCCAGCGTGGACCTCATATTGTCATCCTTGGCAGATGAAATGAAACAGAAGTTAAAATAGAGGAAAAGATCATGAACATGAGGGAGGAGAGAGAGAGAGAATCAGAGTATCTGCAATTCTTGAGATTCTTGTGCTATTTGCATTTTAAGTTAAGACTTTTTCAGCAGCCAAACTACAGAAGAATTTACTCTTGAGAAGCATGAAAACTATGTTTGCAGATGAATGTTTCATGTATTATAGGATTTATGAAACATCTCACAAT